GGGGGGATTGAGATGCCTTTTGGGTGGCCGGCGGGACGGGCCGAAGCCCCAGGGGGAGTTCTTTTGGGAGGAGAAAAAAAAACGAAAGGGTCTAGCACGCCGGGCACCCCTGTGGCAAGCCAACAGGGGGCGGCAGATTTTGGTGCTATCAGAACTCACCCTGGGGCTTCGGCCCGTCCCGCCCGCCACCCGAAAGGACCCAAAAACTGCCCAAATGGTGGTTGCCAAGGTTTTTCCTGCTCCAGACGACGCCAAGATGGCCTCCAAGATGGCCAAGATGGCCCAAGATGGCCTCCAAGCTCGCCCAAGATGGTCCAAGATAGCCTCGAAGACGGCCCAGGAGAGTACAGGATGCCTCCAAGTTCGCACAAGAAACACCTAAGACGGCCCAAGGCGGCCCCAGAGGCCTCCAGGAGGCCTCCAAGACGGCCCAAGAGGCCTCGAAGAGGTCCTCCAGGGTCCTCAAGAACGGCCCGAAGAGGTTAAAATCATTGATTTTCCATAGGTTTTGAAGGATTCGGCTTTTGCTCCTATTCGGATTCCGACGGTCCAAGACTGCCCAAGAAGCCATCAAGATCGCCCCATGAGTGCCCAAGAAGCCTCCAAGACAGCCCCAGGACGGCCCCAACAAGGCCCCAAGACGGCCCAAGAGGCCTCCAAGAAGCCCCAGATGGCCTCCAAGACTGCCAAGATGGCCTCCAAGACTGCCACCAAGACGGCCAAGATGGCCTCCAAGACGGCCAAGATGGCCCCAAGATGCACCCAAGACGGCCCCAGATGGCCTGAAGATGGCCTTCGACTGCTCAAAAGGCCCGCAAGAGGCCTCCAAGACGGCCCAAGAGCCCTTCAAGACGTCCTCCAGGAAGGCCCGACAGGGTAAAAGTCATTGATTTTCCTGTGGTGTTTGAAGGATGTTGGCTTTTGCTCCTTTTCAGCTCTCCGACTGCCCAAAACGGCCCAAGCGGCCCCCAACATCGACCCAAGAGCGCCCAAGAGGGCTCCCAGATGGCCCAATGACAGCCAAAGAGGCCCCCAAGAGGGCCCAAAGAAGGCTCCAAGACGGCCCAAGAGGTCCCCAAGACGCCCAAGATGGCCCCAAGACGGACAAGATGGCCTCCAAGATGACTCCAACCAAGACGCCCAAGATGGCTGTCAAGACGGCTAAGATGGCCCGAAGATGCACCCAAGACGGCCCAAGATGGCGTCAAGATGATCTAAAACGGCCCTAACAGGCCCGCAAGAGGCCTCCAAGACGGCCCAAGAGCCCTCAAAGACGTCCTTCAGGAAGGTCCGAAAGGGCTAAAATCATTGATGTGCCTTGGGTGTTTGAAGGATGTTGGCACGTTCTCTTCTTTTCAGCTCTCCGGCCCAAGACGGTCCAAGAGGCCCCCAACATCGACCCAAGACCGCCCAAGAGGCATCCGAGAGGGCCCCAACAAGGCCCCAAGACGGCCCAAGAGGCCCCCAAGACGCTCAAGATGGCCTTCAAGACGGCCAAGATGGCCTCCAAGACTGCCACCAAGACGGCCAAGATGGCCTCCAAGACAGCGAAGATGGCCCCAAGATGCACCCAAGACGGCCCCAGATGGCCTGAAGATGGCCGACTGCCCAAAAGGCCCGCCAGAGGCCTCCAAGACAGCCCAAGACCCCTCCAAGACGTCCTCCAGGATGCCCGAAAGCTCGGAAACCACATGGTGCGACAGCGCGTCCGACTCCGTGTTCCCCGAAGGCTTTCGAAACCCACTCGGGGAACGCGTGGCCCGATAGTTTGGCCAAGCTCAAACCCAACTTTCGGCCACGCAGGCGCTTGCAAAAAGGCAGGGGGCGGGGGTGATTCGCCGTAGGCGTCTTCGACCCACCGCCCCCTGGGGTCTTGCCACAGGAGTGCCCAGCGTGCTGGATCCTACTGGTCTGGTTTAAAAAGAACTCTCCCCCGGGGGCTTCGGCCCGTCCCGCCGGCCAACCCGATTGGCCCGCCCGCTGCGCCACCAACGTCTCCAAAAACGGCCGTTTCGCTCGGGACATCATCAACAAATCGCGATATTGGAGATCCTAGCACAAGACGCCTTATGATAAGAATGAGCGTTTCGCACGCGACGTCCGCGACAAGTGGCGATGCTGACATCGATGGCCTTACGACCCAAGATGCCCTCAAAGACGGCCCTGGAGCACCCGAAGAGGGCCCCAAGTCGGTCAAGAGAGGCCCCCAAGAAGGCTTCCGACGGCGTCAGACGGGCCAGGAGGCCACCAAGACGGCCCAAGATGGCTCCAAGATGGCCCAAGACGGCCCAAGAGGCCCCCAAGAGGTCTCCAAGACGACCCAAGGAAGACCCGAAGAGGCCAAAATCTTTGATCTCCCATAGAAATTTGAAGAATTTCGGCGTTTGCTTCTTGTCTGTCTTCTGACGGCCCGAGGCGACCCAAGAGCCCCCAAAGATCGCCCCAAGATCGCCCAAGATCGCTCCAAGATGGCCCCAGAACGGCCCAAGAGGCCCCCAAGACGGCCCCAAGAGGGCCCCAAGACGGCCCAAGAGGCCTCCAAGACGCCCAAGATGGCCTCCAAGACGGCCCTGGAGCACCCCGAAGAGGGCCCCAAGACGGCTCAGAGAGGCACCCCAGACGGCGTCCGACGGCGTCAGACGGGCCAGGAATGCCCTAAGACGGCCAAAGAGGCCCCCGAGAAGCCCTCAAAGGCCCCCAAGAGGCCCAAGGAGGCCCCCAAGATGCCTCCAAGAGGCTCCCAGGAAGATCTCAGGAGGCCCCAAGAGTGCCCCCAGAGGCTCCCAAGATGCCCCCTCATCCTCCTCCTCCTCCTCCTCCTCCTCCTCCTCCTCCTCCTCCTCCTCCTCCTCTTCATCCTCCGCCTCCTCCTTCTCCTCCTCCTCCTCCTCCTCCGCCTCCTCCTCCTCCTCCTCCTCCTGATCTTCCCCGCCATCCTCCCCCCCCAATCCCCTAAGGGTTTCTCCGACGACGGCTGGGGGAACACATGGTCCGATGGCTTAGCCAAGCTCTAGCCCAAATTTGGGCCACATAAGCGATTCCAAAAAGGCAGGGGGCGGCGGAGACTCGCCGTAAGCGTCTTCGATCCGCCGCCCCATGTTGGCTTGCCACAAGGGTGCCTGGCGTGCTGAATCCTTTACCTTGTGGTTTTCGTTCTTTTCCAAAAGCTCCCCCTGCCCTGGGGCTTCGGCCGATCCCGCCGGTCACCCGGAAGGGACCGGAAAGCACCTCAACGTCCAGAAAAACTCCCCCAAAGCCGGCTCAAGATGGCCTCCAAGAGTGCAAGATGGCTTCCGAGTTCGCCCAAGATGGTCCAAAATGGCCTTCAAGACGGCCCAAGAGGGTCCGAGATGATTCCAAGTCCGGTGAAGAGGCCACCAAGGCGGCCCAAGTTGGCTCCAAGATGGCCCAGGACGGCCCAAGAGATCCCAAGAGGGCTCGAAGAGGCCAAAATCATAGATTTCCTGGAGGTTGTTGAAGGACTGTGGCATTTGCTTCTTTTCTGCCTTCCGACGCCCCAAGACGGGCCAAGGGGCCTCCAAGATCGCTCCAAGATGGCCCCACAGGCCTCCCATATGACCCCGTGACGGCCCAAGAAGCCTCCAAGACGGCCCCAAGAGGGCCCTAGAGGCCTCCAAGCAGCCCAAGATTGCCGTCAAAACGGCCCTGAGGCGCCCCAGGAGGGCACGAAGTCGTTTCAGAGAGACATCCAAAACGGCTTCCGACGGCGTCAGACGGGAAGGAATGCCCCAAGACGGGCAAAGAAGCCCCCAAAAAGCTCCAAGAAGCCCCCACAGAGGCCCAAAGAGACTCCCAAGAGGCCTCCAAAAGGTTTCCAGAAAGCACCCTTGAGGCCCCAAGAGCGGCCCAAGAGGCTCCCAAGAGGCCTCCTTCTCCTCCTCCTCCTCCAACTCCTCCTCCTCCTCCTCCTCCTCCTCCTCCTCCTCCTCCTCCGCCTCCTCCTCCACCTGCTTCGCAGCGGCGTCCACTCCACTCCACTCCACTCCACTCCTCCTCCTCCTCCTCCTTCTCCTCCTCCCCTTCCTTCTCCTCCCTCTTCTTATCCCCCTCCCTCATCCTCGCCCAAGTATTCCCCGAAGACTTTGCAGAGCGGCTGGGGGAACACTTAGTCCGATAGCTTGGCCAAGCTGGGGCTGAACGTTTGGCCACAGAGGCACTTTTCAAAAGAGCAGGAGGCCCCCAAGAGGCCTCCGAAAGGTTCCCAGGAAGCTCCCAGGAGGCTCCCAGAATGACCCATGATGCTCCCAAGGGACGTCCTCGTTCTTCTCCTCCTCTCTTTTCCTCCCCCTCCTCATCCTTCTCTTCTTCCCCCACGCGTTCCTCGAAGAGCTTCCGAACTGATTGGTGGAACGCAAGGTCCAATAACCTGGCCTAACGTTGGCCGAACATTTGCTCCCTCTTCCTCTCTGTGGCGAACCCTGCAAGGCAAGAGGCCTCCTCCTGGTGTGTCATCCTTCGTCTCCACAATTACGCCTTTTCCTCACTACTTTGCGTCTCCTGATCCTCTTTCTCATCATCCGCGAAAAATCCCCGAATGTATCCCAGACCAACCGCGGGAATACGAAGCTCCCTATGGGGCTACGAACTGTGTGAGGGGTGCGCCAAAATGGGGCGGCGACGCCATGCAGACCCTGCCGCTGGGGCCTTCGGTGGAGCTCCCTACGGGGCATCGAAGCGTGGCACTGGGTGTGCTGGAACACAAACATGCGGAGGGCAGAGGCAGGGATGGGAGGAGGGAGGAGAGGGAGGAGGAGGAGGAAAGCAGAAGGAACGCGGGGCGCTGTCTCCTCAAAACAAGGATTCAACACCACGGGATGGTTGGGGAAAAAAAGAAGGAGAGAGAGAGAGAGAGAGGTGGACAAAGAAACCAAAGGAACTGTGGACCGCTGAAGTCCCCCCCCGCACTGGGCCGACGACGGGGAGGAGCCCGACACAATGACCAGAAACGACCCCTTGCGAGGGGGGGCAAAGGACGCTGCCTTCGCGGCGAAGTTGACCGCGGCGTTCGCCTCGCTGGCAGGGGCGAGCGCTCGGGCAGCTGAAGGGAGGCACCTCCTCCTCCTCCTCCTCGCCCTCCTCCTCCCCCTCGCCCTCATCCTCCTCCTCCTCCTCCTCCTCCTCCTCCTCCTTCTCCTCTTCCCTCCTCCTCCTCCTCCTCCTCCTCCTCCTCCTCCTCCTCCTGCTCCTTTTCCTTTTCCTCCTCCTCCTCCTCCTCCTCCTCCTCCTCCTCCTCCTCCTCTTGCATCTTGGTGCAGCCGATTCTGATCAGCTCCGCCAAGATGCACAGGGCCGCATCGGACAGTCGGAATATCGGAATCGAACCGGATCGAGCCAGCCCGAACCGACATCGAACCGGGTCGATCGGATTCCGTGTTTTTCCCTTTTCCCGCACCTCGTGCCCCTCCCCGGGCGCGCGCGAGGCCAAGGCCCACCTAGAATCCTGGAATCCCAGAACCCCCCCAGCCCCCGTTCTTCTCCTCTGCTCCCTCCTCGATCATCCACCCCTCCCTCCCTTCCAAGTGGACCCTGCAGGGACCCCTGACCGCCGGGCGCCCCTCCTGGAGCGACGCCAGCGCGGCCTGCTTCACCAGCTCCTGGCACCACGGCGGCAGGGGGGGGGGGCGGCCGCACCAGAGGCTCCCCGGCCCAGCTCCCCATCCGCCCCCCTCCCCTGGAGATGAACCACGAACCCCCCCCCGCGTCATGTTTGCCCCACCCAATCCTGTGGTGTTGGGTCCTCGCTTTCACGAGACAGCGCCCCGCGTCCACTCCCTCCTCGTGCGCCGCGATCACTCCCGACGGGAGGCTTCCCACCATTTCCGGCCTCCGGGGGCCCTGCACGAGCCCCGAGACCGTCAAACAACTGCCCAGGAGGAAAAACTTGTCCCCGGGAAGAGGTCCAGACCTCTGGGGCCCCACGTCGTGCAAACATCGTTGCGTCGGAGATCTTGGAAGTCAGACACAGGACAAACCTGGACGAGGATGAATCAGGCAACTTCGAGGGCCACCAGGTTCGGAGCGCGTTTCGGGCGCCGCAGTCGCTACAGAGCGCTCCAGAACGCTCGAAGGGCGTTCCCGAACGCTGTGGAGTGATTACTCCTCGCCCTAAGCCTGCGTGGTCCCTCCCTCCCTCCCCCCTTCCCTCCCCGCCCTTTCCCACACCCCTTCCAAAACAAGAAGCACTGCGACTTGCTCGTCTTCTCGGGCGCGCCGCAAAATGGGGCCGGGAGCAGGGGAGTTGGCGCGTCATGGCCCGAGGTATGTGCGCAGACGAAGAGGGGGGCCCGAGACCCCGTGGAACGCAGAAGAGGACCACGAAATCTCGGAGATGTCCTGGCGCCCCTGCGCCGCATCCGATCTCCGGATTGGGCGGGCCCACGGAGTTACCGGCCCCCGTAGAATGACGAAACAACCCGAGATGTCCCCGAGATGGGGTCGGTTGATCCGAGACCCCACTTTACGAAAGAAGCATGACGTCGCATGTCTGGTCCATCCCTTTCTTTCCTCTTCATCCCACTCACTCACTTACTCTCTTTCTCTCTCTCTCTCTCTCTCTCTCTTTCTCTCTCTCTCTCTCTCTCGCTCCCTCTGTCTGAATATAGCTATATAGCGATAGATGTATGCAGAATGTTGCTAAACTGTGCATGCGTATGCACAGATGTGACATGTGAACACGTCTACGTATACATACAAACATACCTATATACATACATACATACATACATACATACATACATACATACATACATACATACATACATACATACATACATACATACATACATACATACATACATACATACATACATACATACATACAGCCACGTATACATACATATATACATACATATATACATACATACAACATACATGCATGCATGCATACATATATACATACATACATACATACATACATACATACATACATACATACATACATACATACATACATACACACGTACATACATACGTGCATGCATACATACATACATACATACATACATACATACATACAGACAGACAGACTTACCTACATACGTACATACATACCGACCTACCTACCTACCTACCTACCTGCATACATATGACACCAGAGAGAGAGAAAACAAAAAAAAAAAAAATGCTAACGGAGTTCCCCACATAAAGAGATTAACGGTTTCGTGGGACCCATTTTCTTGATGCCCTCCTCGCTTTGGCGGGGCCCCGCTGGAAGGGGGGAGGGCTACGCGGTTCAGGGGCCTCCCTGGAGGGGTGGGAGGGGCACGAAACCATGTAAATAGTATGGTATTCCGATACCCTCCTCGCTCAGGCGGGGCCTCCCTGGAGGGGTGGGAGGGGCACGAAACCATGTAAATAGTATGGTATTCCGATACCCTCCTCGCTCAGGCGGGGCCTCCCTGGAGGGGTGGGAGGGGCACGAAACCATGTAAATAGTATGTATTCCGATACCCTCCTCGCTCAGGCGGGGCCTCCCTGGAGGGGTGGGAGGGGCACGAAACCATGTAAATAGTATGGTATTCCGATACCCTCCTCGCTCAGGCGGGGCCTCCCTGGAGGGGTGGGAGGGGCACGAAACCATGTAAATAGTATGGTATTCCGATACCCTCCTCGCTCAGGCGGGGCCTCCCTGGAGGGGTGGGAGGGGCACGAAACCATGTAAATAGTATGGTTTTCGGATACCCTCCTCGCTCAGGCGGGGCCTCCCTGGAGGGGTGGGAGGGGCACGAAACCATGTAAATAGTATGGTATTCCGATACCCTCCTCGCTCAGGCGGGGCCTCCCTGGAGGGGTGGGAGGGGCACGAAACCATGTAAATAGTATGGTATTCCGATACCCTCCTCGCTCAGGCGGGGCCTCCCTGGAGGGGTGGGAGGGGCACGAAACCATGTAAATAGTATGGTATTCCGATACCCTCCTCGCTCAGGCGGGGCCTCCCTGGAGGGGTGGGAGGGGCACGAAACCATGTAAATAGTATGGTTTCCGATACCCTCCTCGCTCAGGCGGGGCCTCCCTGGAGGGGTGGGAGGGGCACGAAACCATGTAAATAGTATGGTATTCCGATACCCTCCTCGCTCAGGCGGGGCCTCCCTGGAGGGGTGGGAGGGGCACGAAACCATGTAAATAGCTCATCCCTGGTATTGTAAATAGTATGGTATTCCGATACCCTCCTCGCTCAGGCGGGGCCTCCCTGGAGGGGTGGGAGGGGCACGAAACCATGTAAATAGTATGGTATTCCGATACCCTCCTCGCTCAGGCGGGGCCTCCCTGGAGGGGTGGGAGGGGCACGAAACCATGTAAATAGTATGGTATTCCGATACCCTCCTCGCTCAGGCGGGGCCTCCCTGGAGGGGTGGGAGGGGCACGAAACCATGTAAATAGTATGGTATTCCGATACCCTCCTCGCTCAGGCGGGGCCTCCCTGGAGGGGTGGGAGGGGCACGAAACCATGTAAATAGTATGGTATTCCGATACCCTCCTCGCTCAGGCGGGGCCTCCCTGGAGGGGTGGGAGGGGCACGAAACCATGTAAATAGTATGGTATTCCGATACCCTCCTCGCTCAGGCGGGGCCTCCCTGGAGGGGTGGGAGGGGCACGAAACCATGTAAATAGTATGGTATTCCGATACCCTCCTCGCTCAGGCGGGGCCTCCCTGGAGGGGTGGGAGGGGCACGAAACCATGTAAATAGTATGGTATTCCGATACCCTCCTCGCTCAGGCGGGGCCTCCCTGGAGGGGTGGGAGGGGCACGAAACCATGTAAATAGTATGGTATTCCGATACCCTCCTCGCTCAGGCGGGGCCTCCCTGGAGGGGTGGGAGGGGCACGAAACCATGTAAATAGTATGGTATTCCGATACCCTCCTCGCTCAGGCGGGGCCTCCCTGGAGGGGTGGGAGGGGCACGAAACCATGTAAATAGTATGGTATTCCGATACCCTCCTCGCTCAGGCGGGGCCTCCCTGGAGGGGTGGGAGGGGCACGAAACCATGTAAATAGTATGGTATTCCGATACCCTCCTCGCTCAGGCGGGGCCTCCCTGGAGGGGTGGGAGGGGCACGAAACCATGTAAATAGTATGGTATTCCGATACCCTCCTCGCTCAGGCGGGGCCTCCCTGGAGGGGTGGGAGGGGCACGAAACCATGTAAATAGTATGGTATTCCGATACCCTCCTCGCTCAGGCGGGGCCTCCCTGGAGGGGTGGGAGGGGCACGAAACCATGTAAATAGTATGGTATTCCGATACCCTCCTCGCTCAGGCGGGGCCTCCCTGGAGGGTGGCTGGTGTGATATGATATGGTATGCTATGGTACCCATGGTATGGTATGGTACGGTATGGTACGTGGGTATGGTATGGTATGGTATGGTATGTATGTGGGTAGGAACTATGGTATGGTATGGTGTGTGTGGTAGGAATAATATTGTGCTGTATGGAAGATGGAGCGGGAGGTGGGTGGGAAGGAGAGGGTGTTCTGGGAAAACAAGAACCCCACTCAGGATGTGGGGAAAAAAAATCCTGTTTGTTGGGGCTATGGGGCAGGGCTATAAAGCTATAAGGTTATGAGGCTATAGGGCTATTGGGCTATAAGGCTATAGGGCCATAAGGCTGCAGAGCTATAGGGCTATAGGGCTATAAGGCTATGGGGCTATCGGGTTACAGGGCTATAGGGCTATTGGGCTACAGGGCTATAGGGCAATAGGGCTATAGGGCTGTGGGGCTATAAAACTATAGGGCTATAGGGCTATAGGGCTATTGGGCTATTGGGATATTGGGCTATATGCTATTGGGCTATTGGGCACCCCGGGCACCCGGGCACCCGGGCACCCGGGCCAGGCCACCGAAATCGGCCACGCACCTCACCGGCCACCTGGGCACCCGGGCACCGCCGGGCACCTGGGCACCCGGGCACCCGGGCCCGGCCACCGAAATCGGCGACCAACCTCACCTAAACCTTTAATACACTAGGACCCCTACAGAGGCAAGATCTGCTTGGGGAACATACATACATGCATGCATGCATGCTTGCATGCATGCCTACACACGCATACACACATGCATCCATGCATGCATACATACATATATACATACATGCATGCATGCATGTATACACACATACACACATACACTCATGCATACATACATACATACATACATACATACATACATACATACATACATACATACCTGCATCCATTCATCCATTCATACATGCATACATGCATACATGCATACATGCATACATGCATGCATGCATGCATGCATACATACATTCATACATCCATGCATACCGCCATTCATGCATACATACAGATACATATATACATATATATATGTATATATATATATACCTAAATGCATGCCTACCTACATACGTACATACGTATACCATCACCCCTTAGAAACCAGGAGTGCAAAGCTCGAAGAGCACTATATACTTGTGTCAACTTCGAGCTCCTGTTCAATACTCTGTCTGCGCAACCGCTTGATGACCAGACCGGGCTGAGCAGGCACCCGAGCAACATCTATATTTCTCGGGGTGCCCACAAGCTGAGAAACCTCCCTGAGGAATCCTTCAAGACACGGCAAGAAGTAAAGACAGGCGAGCGGTGGGGATGGTGGTGGTGCACTTGAGCCGCGGGAGCGGCGGCCGAGAGGGCAGCAGAAACGGGCCCAGAGAACAGGTGCATCCTCAGCCCCTAGAAACCAGGAGTGCAAAGCTCGAAGAGCACTGCATACTTGTGTCAATTTCGAGCTCCTTTTCAATACTCTGTCTGCGCAACCGCCTGATGACCAGACTGACCAGGCACCCGAGCAACATCTATAATATTTCTCGGGGCGCCGACAAGCTGAGAAACCTCCCAGACCCGTACTGTGCTCTGGAGCCGCAAATCTATAAAAGGGATCATCCAAAGCCAGCGGCTGTCGACAGACGTGTGAGCTCGAGAGCGTTGACAGATCGCAAAAGCCAAGCAGCCCCAGCTATCCCCATTCTCTTGGGACACTGGGCCGCGACAGTAGTCCAATTCACAGAATTGCCAGGAGCGTCGCCTACCAGCACAAGGTGGGGCCGATTCGTAAAGCAGCAGATCCCGTGCCCGTGACAAGGACGGCTGGCACGGGGCAAGATCGGGGTCCACCACCCAACCAATCGAGTCCTCTTTCGCCACCTGGCCCCGAACGAACACTGATCTACCACGAGCTCCCGCGCTTGGGGAAGCGCCCTAAGCCTACGCATCCCAGGCTCCTTCCAAGCCAAGGAAGGAGGAGCTCGGGAACGCACACCAGACCCCCTTTACAAGGCCTGCCGAGATCCAGCCTAAAACGCGACAAAGGACCCTACGCTCCGCCAGGTCAATTCAGGGCCCTGCATACTGTCAAAAGCTATTTCTGATCCACCCTGCTGCCTTAAGGCACGCAACACTGGAGAAGAGCCCGGGAAGAGGTCAAGAAATACTTTGCCGTCAGGCGACAGACTCATAGCAGCGCGCATCTGCCGTCGGAGGAGTCGTCGCACGTCCCGAGCCGCCAGCCGATGCTGCACGGCCCCCACGTTGTGATCAGGTATCAGGGCTTGCCGCGCCGCCTGCCGCCTGCCTGCTTCAGCTGCAGAGCTCTCACGTTGGGCGGCTGGGGCGCGGCGCGGCGCCCTACCAGAATATCCAGCAGGTGGTCGGCCACCAGCCAGCCGCACTCGCGGGCGACGGGCGTCATGTTGTCCGCCTGCTTGAGCACCAAGGCATGCTTCTCGTGGCGGCGCACCGACGAGTCTGCACGCCATCTGCCCCTCCTCTTCACCTCCTCCAAGGTCCCCTCGTGCCGAAGGGCGTCGTCTGAGGCCCCCCCGTGCCCGAGCATGTAGGGGTGGGGCCTCGGGTTCGACAGGTCGGCAAGCTCCGCGAGCCGGTTGAAATCCTTGGAGAAGGTTGGCGAGCCGAAGGGCCACAGGCGCTGCGTCGCTGGTGACCGTTTGGCCAGGCGAAAGAAGTCCTGGATGGGGGTCGAACTCCACGTTGTCGAGCAGCAGACTCTCGTCGAACTCGCGGGTCTTCGAAGCCACCGAGAGCTCGGATGGGAGCCAGCAGCAGCGCCCACGAGGTGGTCCCCGTGCCCAAGTGCGGCGGGACCAGCTGGCCCACAGCCAGCGTCAAGCACTCTGTGGGGCGCAGGTAGGTCCTGAACATCAGCACCAAACAGTACGCCATCTCCTGCCAGCCGAGGGCCATCGCCGAGCCTGCCATCGCACAGAGCGCCAGCCCAGGAAATGGTGCGCGGCTCAGGCCTGGCGCCAGGCGGCGAAAGCCCCGTGGAGCGTTCTTTGCCCTGGGCAGCAGCGTGCTGCCAGGCACCTTCAGCTCGGGAATGCGAAACTCCAGGCTCGCCACTACCTTCTCGCCCGCGTCGTGGTTGAACCAGCTGAAGTACAGATCCTCGAGGTGATCCACGAGCGCAAGGTCGATCTCGACTGGCGTCGACAGCGGCATCCCTGCCTGAGTGGCCCACTTGCGGAAGTCGGAGAAGTATCGATCGCACAGCGTCGCCGAGCTGCGCGTCACCCTGTTGACCTCCAGGAAGTAGGCCCCCAGGTCCCTGCACAGGCTGGCCCGCGCTCGGTGCGCCTCGACGCGCCGTCGAGCGCGGGCGCGACGCTGCTGGGCCGAGGGGAGCGTCAAGTCTGCCGCTTCCAGAAGCCGCTTGACGGGCAGGACGCCGACCCTCGACCGCGCCGCTGGCTCTCTCGCTGTCCGAGGAGCTGGAGGAACTGCGGGTGCTCGCTGCAGAATGCCAGTCGTCGATTGCGTCGTCGGTGCCTGTGAGCTCGATCGGCGGAGGAGCGGCACGCGAGCTGCCTGTGGCTGCCTCTCCAGCGCCACCACGTCGAAGCTCGTCACGGGCGAGGGCCTCAACAGCAGCGAGCAGGGCGGTGCGCTGCGCGTCGGTCGAGCAGCCGTGCCAGCGAGCATCGCGTGGATCCCCGCTGCCGCTCCGCACTGGTGACCCCTTGAGCCTGGACGGCCCGTCGGCAGGATTGGACTCGCCAGGAGCCCAACGACTGATACACGCGGCATCTGCAGCCAGGTTGAGTGCGCAAAGCTGTCGGAGGTGATGATTGATGCTGGCGTTCGCGGCCCCCCCCCCCTTCCCTGGGCCAAGATAAACCCGAGATTGTCGCCAACATTGACATGGCGATGATGAAAGCTTCCAACTGAGCGCAGGGCGCGACTAGCGGCAATGACAGCAGCCGCCCCCTCCGTCGACGCAATACCCTCAGCGCGGCGCCGCCTGCCTCTCACACACACAGCTGCCAACTGCTGAAGTCGCCGATGACGCTGCGCTCCAAATAACTGAATGAGACGGGCAGGTCGACACCGCCCTCGAGCGGCGCCTGAGAGTCGCCCCCCGCCTGCGGGCCAGGCGACCCTGCGGCGGCCGGGGCGGCCGCAGCGGCCAACGCTGCCGCGCGAGCCTGCACTGCGTCCGCCACGGTGAAGCGCCAGCGCCTCCTCACGACCCCGAAGCCGCCGTTGTCGATCAGGTTGGCCCCCTCCGAGTCCGTCGCAGCAACGTGCTCGCACCAGGGTCGCTCGGCGTCAGCGTAGGCTAACGGGGGCAGCGCCACCATCCACTTGAGCTCGCGCCGCACCGAGCGCCAGAGCGGCACCCGCTTGGGGCCCGCCTTGCCCACGAAGCGGTAGCGCGCGCGGCGGAGACAGCAGGCGCCGTCGGAGGATGGCCGACCAGGTGTAGTGTCCCAGAAGGGAGTGCACCTCAGCACCGCCGGCGCGCCCCACCGCTAAGACGTGAGACAGCTTGAGCCTGACCTTCCAGCACCGCGCGCGGCCGACGGAGATCCGACCGGAGGGGCGGTGCAGGTCCAGGCCCGTGAAGCGCGCAACCTCGGGCCCGTGCTCGATGGTCTTGCAGTCGAGCCCGTCGGCCCCCAGCTGCTTGAAGACGGCGCCGGCCGCGACGGCGACCCGCTTCGTGTCGGCGCGGGCGACGGCGGCGATGTCCACATACACGGCGGCCGCCACCTTTGAGTCGATCAGATCGGGAGAGGGCCGCTTGTCCCTGAAGAACTGGCTGGTGGGAATGCCCACCTTCTGAACTGATGCAACCACCATCTGCTGGCAGAAGTGCAGTGCCCATGGCCGTCCCATGGCCATGACCTCTAGATGCGGGCTGAGCCAATCGGCCCCCGCGACATCACACGCGGGAGCCAACTGACGGATCAGCCTTCCCGGTACACGAGGCAGCACAAAATGATCAGATACTCCAGGCGGCGCACGTACACGATAAAAGGCACACTCGACATCCATCTGCGAAAAGACCAGCTCTTCCTCAGGCCGAAGCTCGACGCTTGCCCATGCACCAGGCGTGGGTAGGACCGTATGCTCGGCCATCTGGAATCTCGCATTCACCAATCTCGCATCCAGAATCATCCGCTGCATGCCGTTCTTCTTTCTCACGAAAAATATACCGACAGTGGCGGCCTCATGCGGCCGCAGTGAACGTAGCCCGAGAGAGCACATGTCCGCGATCAACTTTGCAGGCATCATCTTATCTCTGATCAAGGTGGGTCGGAGTAAGGTTTCACAGGAAGTCCAGAGATGTCAGACATGTCCTGGTCGCTCCGCACGAGCGTCGTGACGCAATTGTTCCAGTGGTAGAGGGGCCCCCCTGTCGGCACCTCGGCGCCATCGGCGACCCCGCCTCGAGAAGGCATTGAGAGTAAATCATACTGGAAAACAAGGCGGGGATCAGCGTCATCACATCCCGCTCGAGCGCCGCAAATCTCTTTGAAGGCTTCCACGGCCGCGCAGGGTGGAGGAGGAACAGCTCGGAAGATGCGCGAGATAGACTCATGAGATTCCTGCTGCGCGCGCGACAGTCCCAACGAAGACTCGACACGCCCAACACCATACAAGTCATTGATACTCTCCACTGCTGAATTCACGGCGGCCTGCCAGTGGGTCTTCACCTTCAGCCGCCTCTTCACAGATCGAGACAAAGAACCAGACGCATCTGAATTGAACTGCGATGCCTCGCAGAACGGCGCCGACATCGGGAGGAGCTCCCTCGCGACTGGCAAGTGCCCTGAGAGCGCAGGCCGGGCGGGCAAGCCGGCCCACGAGGACGTCATGACTCAGGCGCGGCGGACGGGCCCGCCGCAGCCTTCGACCCCTTCCCCTTCTGCTTCGCCTTGGCCTTCGGGTTAGCAGGAGGCCCGCCGACCAAGCCGCGAAGCGGGCCGGCCGCACCGGCCAACGCCGCGGCGGCGGCCTGGCTGGGCACCATGCTGGGAGAAGCGCGAGCCAGCTGCCGCTCCTCGCGGAGCTTGCGGCGCTCCTTGGCCACCGTGCTCTCGCGGTGGAGCTCGGCAGCGACATACTCCTCCAGCGCTGGGCATAGCATGATCTGGCCCCTAGTCTCACCCAGGCCAAGGTACAAGAACTCGTCATTGGCCAAGTCGTCCCCGAAATCGTCTGGACGCAGCAGCAGACGTCGGTACCTGAACTCCGCCAGCTGCGCCCTGCGCATGAAGAGTTCGGCGAAGACCAGCTCGGGCGCATTCAGCTGGTCGTACGTGAGTAAGTACTCGAGACCCTTCATGGCGGTCTCGTGGTCCGAAGCGCCAGGGCCACCGCTTGTCAGTCGACAGGTGTGCTTCCACCACGTGCGCCTGGCCCTCGGGTGCCCGTTGGTCTGGACGATGAATGTCAAACACCACAGCACCGTGCGAGGGCCACTCAGCGGCCAACTGTCCCAGACGCTCTCCGTACAACAGTCGATCGCGTCCTTCACGTCCTTGTGCCGTTTTCCCAGCTTGCCGCGGAAGATCTCGAGGATCCTGGCGTCGAGCTCGGGCGAGGCCGCGGCTGACGCTGCGACACAGTCCATCAGCACGAGCAGCTCCCCGTTGCGGCTCACCAGCGCGACGCCAGGAGCATACAGGTACTTGTCCTTGGCGCTGGAGTCGAAGTCGAGCCCAGCGATGCCGTCACTGGTGGTGCGCCGCCAGGCCCCAGTCGCAGGCGGAAGAGCGCCTTGACCAGGAGACAACGAGACACTCTGCACTAAGTCGAGGATGGCCTGCTCTGCCTGACTGCGAAGGGGCACCCCAGGGACGGCCGCCATCATTAGAGAAGCATCATCGCCCTCACGAGCTGTGCGATCCTCCAGACGACCCCGAAGACGACGTCGTGGTCCACCGCCCAGGGTTACCTCCGCCTGGCACACGCGAAGCGCCTCGGCGAAGGCGGCGGGCGTCGGGAGCGGCGAGAATGCGTACACCCGATTCAAGTGTGAGGTGCGGCCGATCCCCGAACCCTGCACGAGGTCGCCGTCGGGGGTGGTCCCCATGAGGGACGTCAAGGGAGGTACTGACAACTCCTCTGGGTAGACGTCGAGGTCTGGGGTCAGAACCCAATACAGAGCGTCGGTGTCCGTGAACGGATCGCCCTCCATCACTCGTTGATAGACGTCCCGAGGACAGCGACATATCACCACGCGGCGATGCCCTAGGCGAGCATCGTCCGAATGCTTCACCTGCACCTCCCGACCTCCAAGCAAGAACGGGGCGTCGAGAGTGATAGCCACTGATGCACCACTGCAGCACAAGCAGGCCGACGGCGCCGATGAGCACCCCGAACAACAGACACACACCACAGATCTGGTACGGCCCTCCTAGGACCGATGACTGAATGGGACAGGTCAGCGCCTGCTCTGCCAGCGGGCGCAGCACAGGAGACGCCAGCGACGCCACGCCTGCCACACCTGCGAGGATCCCCATCGATTCGTGGCGCCGCCAAAATTGCACCTGAGCCGCGGGAGCGGCGGCCGAGAGGGCAGAGGAAAGGGGTTCAGAGAACAAGTGCATACACACGCATGCATGCATGCGCGCATGTCTATATATATATATATATATATATATGTATGTGTTAAATGTGTATACACGCATGGGTGGTATGTAGCTGCATCTTCTCTCTTGCACCTGGCACTCCCTCCCTTCCCCCTCCAGGAGAAGAAGGCCATCCAACTATCGACCCTAACCCCTAACCCTAAGACCAGTTGATTGCCGCGAGCTGCTTGCTGATCCTAGAGCCCGAAGACGAACTCCAGACGCCGAATCCGAACAAAACTGAAGGAGGACCCCCACTCCCTCCCACAGAATCGACTCCCAGACCTGTCAGGGGAGCGCGGAGATGGACCAGGGTTTCGAGCCGAGCCTACGTAGCCGAAGCCGAGGCGACGAGGGCGCCCCCGTGACCCAGAACAGACGAAAACTCAGCGAACCCCCTCCTCACCCCATCCTCCTCCCCTCCCGCAGCGCCAAGAAAAACGCATCGCTCCCTCCTCCTCCTCCTCCTCCTCCTCCTCCTCCTCCTCCTCCTCCTCCTCCTCCTCCTCCTCCTCCTCCTTCCCCTAGGAACATAGAACGACCTGACCATAAAATATCGGAGGCTCGCGCGGACTTCTTGGGTCGGCGATGGGCCAATTCGGGCGGTGCGAAAGGTGCCCTGGCCCAAGGTGCCTCCAGCTTTCCGCGCCGTTTTGGAGCCCCTGGGGCCCTCCGAGTCTCGTGAGGAGCTCTCTGGAGGCCGTGGGGGCCTCTTTGGAAATCCTGGGGGGCACTTTGGCCAGGGGCACTTCGAGCAACCTCCGGCCAGTCCCCTCGCCACCCCCCCCTTCCAGCGCGCGGAGCACGCCGGGGGCGGTACTAGGCGCCGCCAGGGGTATAGGGGCCACGGGCGACGCGAGACATCCGCGCGGACATCCGAAACTTTGTGCCCATGCTGCTCTGATTACTCCACCCCCCTCCTCCTCCTCCTCCTCCCCCTCCTCCTCTTCCTCCTCCTCTTCCTCCTCCTCCTCCTCGTCTCGCCATCGCTCGGACGTCCCTTCCCCGTGTCATTGTGCATTCGTGCCACTACTTCTTCGCAGCGTGATCCAAGATGCTCCTCGATGGCCCTCGCTGCAGCAGTGCACACGCCCGAGCGATGGCAGGCCCTCTCGGAGTGGACGAGAAGGGCGGGATTGCAAGCGGGGTTGGCGAAGGAGCTCACGCGGCCCGTTCTCCTGGCGCCTCCCAGCGACACACGACGCCAGCGTACCGAGGCAGGCGCCCGGCGGCGGGGCCCAAACCTGATGGGCTTGTTTTCCACCACCACCACCATAAGTAGGAGGAAGAGGAGGAGGAGGAGGAGGAGGAGGAGGAGGAGGAGGAGGAGGAGGAGGAGGACCCCCTCCCCCTCCAACTTATGGTGGTGGTGGTGGAAAACAAGCCCATCAAAACCAGCTGCACGTGCAGCACGTGTGGCAAGCATGCGCTTACGATACCAGCGTCGTCCGACTCGAACGGTCCTCGTCGATCCCGGCCTTCGGACGACCATTCTGGCCGTCCGGGGCGATCTGGGCACCCCCGGAGCGTTCTCGGCAAGGCGCAGCTGCTGGAGAGCATCCCGATGCCTGCAAGAACGACGAGCCTGGACGGGAACGTCCGAAAAAAACAGCCTCTGAGCATCGTTTTGTTCGGACGCCCTCGGTCATCACGGCGACAGGCCTACAATCTGAAACAAAGAACATGGATGGCTATACGCGCGTTCGCTTTGCTTGGATCCATTGACCAGAAAAACGTGAAAGAAAGAGACGGCGTCGTCTAAGGCAACCGTCTCGGCAGTGAAGTAAGAAACCGGTGCCTCGAAATATGTGCCGCGAAACGCCACGGGAAATGCGTGACGCTGGCCAACTTGTATGACCACGGTTTCAACTACCCAGGCGGCCGCCGAACAGCGTTTCTGCTGAGTGCGGCCGTCGGAATGGCAACTGAAATTTGTCATGTAAGGGCAAAATCATGGCACTGGAGGCTCGAACTCCTTCGTCCAACTGTGGTCGATGTCCATGGTGAAGTTGGGCAAGAAATCAACAATATTATTGTGATCGCGCTTTCGCCGAATAACTGGGTCCGCAGTGCGCTAGACCGGCTGAGCATCGATAAACCGATTCCTATCCCCACTGGGGTGGCCTTGGCCGCACTGGCCAATTTACCTCCCTAGATGGGAATACACCCGCGCGATGGATCCCCCCCATGTGGTCGTGGTGCTGTCGGCGCGGCGTGGTCGTGGTCGTGGTCGTGGTCGTGGTCGTGGTCGTGGTCGTGGTCGTGGTCTTCGTCATGGTCGACGTCGTGGTCGTCGTCGTCGTCGCCGCCGTCGCCGTCGTCGTCGTATTCGTCGTCGTCGTCGTCGTTCCCCTCCCATCCCATCCCATCAGGGAGGGGGGCCTGCGAACCACAGTACCCATTCCATCTGGGGGGAAGGCCTGTGAACCCTCGACCCGGGGGTTTCGCAGGGCCGATCCCCACCTGAGAGGGCGGGCTGGTGGGGCTTAGATACTATGGCCCGGTGGGGATATGGATAGGTTAGAGGATGCTGAAATATCGACCCAACTTCCGTGACCCGCTCTTGCGTGCGACCCACAGGCGACGCCGACGACGGTGATGATGATGATGATGATGATGATGATGGTGATGATGATGATGATGGTGATGATGATGATGGTGATGGTGGTGGTGATGATGATGGTGGTGGTGGTGGTGATTTGGATGATGATGTTGATGATGATGATGATGATGATGATCATGATGATGATGGTGATGATGATGATGATGAGAATGATAACGGTGATAACGATGATAGCGATGACGGTGCCGATGACTCGAAGGTGACGATGACGATGGCAATGACGGCGGCAAGCACGACGAAGACGACGACGAGGGGGATGGAGGGAGAAAAGGAGGGAGGGACGAAAGAGGGGGCGGGACAGAAAGAGGAGCAGGAGGAGTCCGGGTTTTCCTATACGCTTCTGGGTGGCTGCAGGGAGAAGAGGAGGGAAGGAGGCAGGGAGCGTGGGAGCGAGCCTTTCTCTCTCTCTCTCTCTCTGTCGTTCTCTCTCTCTCTCTTCTGTCTGTCACTCTGAACTACTATATACATCAGCGGATCGGCCCGCATGGCCGCACTGCCAGCGGCGCCGCCTCCAGAAGCGCCCGGGCGATTGACGTGGCGAGGTTGATGCTGACGAGCGTGCGGAGGAGGGGAAATCTGAGATCCTCCCTGGCCCTCTCTTCCGAGCCGCGCCCGGCCGCGGCGACGGGCCCGGGCGCCCAACAAAAACCCGAAAGGAAGTGAGGAGGACGAGACGAGGCAGACAGCGGGGAGGTCGACGGCGGCGGCGGCTCAGAGACGGGGCCCCGAGGGATGGAGCCTGGAGGATGGGCAGGAGGGGTCCCCGAGCTGCACCCTTCTCTGTTCGAGGCCACTCGCCATGAACATCCGCCTGCGGAGGTCCGCGCGGGCTTCCTGGATCGACGCTGGACCCCCCTCCCTGGCGCAGGGAGCGCGCCAGGGGCGGCGCTGGAGGCGCCGCCAGGGGCCGGGGGTGCCCAGCGCCGACCAAAGACATCCGCGCGGAGCTCCGAAAGCGCATGTCTATGCAGCCTGTCCTGCCCCATCCGAAAATCCTGCTCCACCAACCATCGGTTCTCGTGAATCGATGGAAGGCGGGGGGTCGGGTTCGAATTTCGCCGCGTGCTCGACGGATTCCGAACTCTAACCCCGCCGCCCGTCGATGCTCCTGCTTCGTTGATCGGCGAGGGTAGGTTTCGGACATCACCGCCGATTAGGACTAGAGCCCCGCCCCTCGGTGCCCCATCTTATCGGCTACACGTAAGAGTGACCCCAGGCAAGAGTGGCCTTTGGTGCGCGACTTCCCGGGGCCGCGGGGAGGCCGAACCCGAGCGCGTAAGCCGCTGCTATCATGTCACGCTCGGCCAACTGATGACCCCACTGTGCCCGCACCAACGGTCACTCCCGCGAAGGCTCACTCTTACGTAATATAGGCGATCTCAGGGACCGCCGACGCGAGGCGGACTTCCTCCCGCTGCGCGGCCACCTGCCTCGCGGCGGCCGCCTGCTGCCGCTGCAGCTCCGCCAGCTCCTCCGGAAGCGGGAAACGAGCTGGCAGGCGGCCGGCGGCGCGAGGTGGCGATTTCCTCCTCCTGCTGCTCCTCGTCGTCGCCCTCCTCGTCCTGCTCCACTGCCCCCTCCTGCCTCTCCTCCACCCTCCACCCTCCACCCTCCTCCTCCTCCTCCTCTCCTCCCTCCTCCTCCTCCTCCTCCTCCTCCTCCTCCTCCTCCTCCTCCTCCTCCTCCTCCTCCGCCTCCCCCCGCTGGGTGCGCCACGAGCTGCGCATCCCAGCAGGGATCGCCACGACCGCCCCACCCCCCAGGACCACAATGGAGTTGTAACAGCTCTGGAGAAAGAGAGAAGAGAGAGAGAGAGAGGGAGGACGATGAGTCGAAAAAGAAAAGAGAAGACGAGACGAATGAGAAGGGGGAGGATGAGGTGGACCCCTGCGGAGGGCCACACAAACTGATTTGGACGTACGGGGCCTGCACTGCGGGGGCGGTACCATACAAGGTGAGGAAAGCACAGGCCCGCATTCCCCGAACTTCGCTTGCACTGAGGGGGGTCTTGTTCAATCAGCTTTTCAGTGAATGCTAGGGTATTCCATGCTTTCGGCTGGTGCCCGCCCGTGGGCGCTTCGTGGGCGCTTCGTGCACGCCCGGGGTGTGCCGAGGTTTCGCCCAGTGCCCGCCTCGAGCGCGCCTCGTGGGCGCCCTGTGGGCGCCTCGTGGGCGCCCCGCCGCGCTGGGAGGACGGGCCTCGTCCGTGGGCACCTCGCGGGCGCCTCGGGGGCGCCCCCGCGCTGGAGGGATGCGCCGAGGTTTCGCCCGGGTGCCCGCCCCGTGGGCGCCACGCGGGTGCCCCGCGCTGGGGAGGGGGGGAGGGGCACGTCGAGGCCTTGGCTGGTGCCCGCCCGTGGGCGCGCACCACGCTGGGGGGGTCGGTGGGCGCCTCGAGGGCGCCCCGAGGGCTTCCACCGCGCAGATTGCACCACGGATCGTGCACCAGATGGCGGGGACCACGTAGCTTGCACCACACTAGCTTGCAGGCCATACCTTACATCTCACGTAGCTTGCCTCACGCAGATGGCACAACGTAGCTTGCACCACACAGCTTGCACCAAATGGTTCCGCCACACAACTTACACATCCACCGTGCAAACAATGCACTACATGGGGTCCACGCTGGCTAACATACACACTAACGCAGCTGCGAAAAAGAATAGGAGGCTAACAAGCACACAGGCGAGGACGTGGGTGCGGAACACCTGGACGTTCACAACATTACGTGCTCATGAACCCGAGCGCGCAAAGATGGAGAAACACTGCAAAAATGCAATGCTGTTTTCCTGCCGCTGTCGACACCTAAGGGCGCCAGCGCGCGTGCTGTTCAATGCTGTTGTGTTCTGCTTTCTCCGCTCACCACGGTCCAACGCTGGATGCCCAGAATGAGAGCAGCGGTACCTGTATGTGAAGCGTTGGCTGTCTCGGGGCACCGCGGTGCAAGCTGCCCGACGCACCGAAGAAGGGCCGAATAGGAACAACGGCCCGCTGGGTCCGGACTGAAGATCCCCGCAGCGTGCTTCGGCGGCGCTGTGAAGTGCTGTGGAGAGGCGCGACAAACGAGACCACCTGTACTACTCGCTAAGCCTGTACACCACGCGAAATGATTAAGAAATCATGGGTTAAGAAATTAATGGTCTCAGAACTTGAATAAAAACCCAAACATTCAATCAAAATCTTAGGATTTACATTGAAACGTTAAGAATAATCGAGACTCTGGCCGAAAACTTAAGTTTTCTTAAGCATCGCCTAAGGTGTACCGCGACACCACGGCACCAATTAATCAAAGCTGTATCTACCAGTGTTAACTAAGCAACCAGAGCTGAGGCTTGCAGGCATCAAAGCAAGGGCAAACGGGCGAAGGCTCACGCAAAAGCAAGCGCTGTTCTACCCAAAGCTACGCTTCAGGGCGAAACCTAGCGGCACCGACTCAGGCTTCCGCTAGAGACGAAAGCCAGAACCGCGTTGCTAACACGCCGCCCCATATGATCCACCTCGGACCTAGCCAGAACTACGCCACCGCGAGACCAGGACACGACTGTTCTTCAGACGGAAGCACGATTAAGATGTATTCGGACCGAGATACATAGTCAATATCTTAGAGCTGGCGGGCCTAGAAGATATGTTCTGAGCCGTGGTCGCGCCAAGAGCTGAGGCTATAAGTGAATTCTCTCCCGGCCTCCGTCCTTCTATGAGGAAGGAGACTTCTGGACCCGGGCCCGCACCTGTCCACCAGGCTGCGGAGTCGGTCCTGGGCGTACTCAGCCTGAATCTCGCTATGCTCCCTGTGGAAGCGGTAGCGCTCAAGCGTGATGTCCTCCTCGAGGGTGCGAGCTTTCGCTCTCTCTCTCTCTCTCTCTCCCACTCTCTCTCTCTCTCTTTCTTCTCTCTCTCTCTCTCTCTCTCTCTCTCTCTCTCTCTCTCTATATATATATATATATATCCCTCTATCTCTCTCTCTCTCTCTCTCCCTCTCTCCCTCTCTCCATATATATACATATATATATATATGAAAGAGCGTGTTCTACCGCTGCTGGCGGAAAACCGGGGGGGGTCACTACCGGTTCGAACCCCTCCCCCCCCCCCCTCGGAAAACCGAGGGGGGTCACTACCGGTTCGAGCCCCTCCCCCCCCCCCAGTTCATCATGAAAAGGGGGAGGGATCACTACCGGTTCGAACACCCCCCCCCTTCCGAACTCGAAAACCGGGGGGGGTCACTACCGGTTCGAACCCCCCCCCCCCTCGAAAACCGAGGGGGGGTGCGGACAGTGGTGGGGACGGTGATGGTGGGGACAGTGGTGAGGGGACAGCGGGACAGTGGTGGGGACAGTGGGACAGTGGTGGGGACGGTAGTGGTGGGGACATGGTGAGGACAATGGTGGGAACAGTGGGGACAGTGGGACAGTGGTGGGGACGGTGGTGGTGGGGACAGTGGTGTGGGGACAGTGGGAATGTGGTGGAAACAGTGGGACAGTGGAGGGTACAGTGGTGGTGGGGACAGTGGTGAAGGCGGTGGCGAGGACGGCGGTGGGACAATGGGACAGAGGTACAGTGGGGACAGTGGTGGGGACAGTGGGGACAGTGGTGGGAACAGTGGGACAGCTCAGTGGGACAGCGGAGGATTCAGTGGGACAGTGGGGACAGTGGGGATAGTCGGGCAGTGGTTGGGGCCGTGGAGAAAGTTGGGAGAGTGGAACCGTGGTGGGAACAGTGGTGGGGACAGTTGGGACTGTGCGACAGTGGTGGTGGCACTGGTGGGGACAGTAGGGGCGGTGGTGGAACCAGTGGGGACAGTGGTGGTGAGGACAGTGGTGCTGGGAACAACTGTGGGGGATGTGGTGAGGACGGTGGTAGGGACCGGGAGTCGTTTGCTGGCGGTGAGAGGGGGGGGCGGGGAAGGGTTCGAACTGGTAGTGACCCCTCCCTCCGGTTTTCGAGGGAGGGGGGGGGGGTTCGAACCGGTAGTGACCCCCCCCCGGTTTTCGGGTGGGGAGGGGTTCGAACTGGTAGTGACCAACCCGGTTTTCCGCCAGCAGCGGTAGAACCTCCAATTTTCGAGGGGGGGGGGGGTTCGAACCCGTAGTGACCCCCCCCCCGGTTTTTCCAGAAAGGGGGAGGGGGGGGGGGGTAGGGGAGGGGGGGGGGTTGCCGGGGGAAAAGGGGGAGGGGGGGTCCAGCAGGGGTGGGGGGGATTTTCGGAGGGGGGGGAACCCCGTGTTCCGGAGGAAAAGGGCGGCAATTTTCCACAGTAAAGAGGCGGTGGAACACGCTCTCTCTCTCTCTCTCTCCCATACATATATATACACACACACACACCTCATGCGCACAGTATACAAAGATGCGCCACCAAGCCTCCAGCACGTAAAGGATCATACAGGTCTACGAGCAACTGGCTCTGGGTGCTTAAGGCCTCGACACCCAGTTTCCCGGGCGCTCCCGGAGATTTCCGGGCGCTCCCGGGGTGTGTCGCGCGAGTCCTCTGGAAACTGAGCTGGCCCAGAACGGCCTTCCGAACCCCCCGAGGGTGTCAGAAGCGTTTCCGACGGTCCCAGAGGGCCCTGGATCGGCCCCCGAGTTCTCCAAGATGTCACGATGGCTCCACAACGGCCCAGGAGGCTCCCAAAACGCCCCGGCAAGGCTCCAACAAGATCGCCAAGAGGCAAGACTCCCGAGGGGCTCCAAAGACACCGCAAAACCGAATCCAGGAGGCTTCCGAGAGGCCCCCCAAGAATTCCAGAGGCCTCTGACCTACAACCAAGGCACGGTGGCAGGATCAGGATGCGCCGAAGGCCGCTACAAATCCGCCGCCCCCTGTCGATTCATCGCAGGGGTGCCTGGCGTGCTGAATCCTCTCGGCTTCGGTGTTGGTTCTTTTTCCAAAAGAAATCCCCCTGGGGCTTCGGCCCGTCCCGCCACCCGGAAAGATTGCCAAGGACCTCAATCCGGAAAAAAAACCTCCACGATGACCCAAGATGGCCTGCAAAATGGCCACGTTGGCCCGAGATGGCCTCCAAGTTCGCCCAAGATGGCCTCCAAGACGGCCCAGGACAGGAGGAGATGACTCCAAGTCCGCCCAAGAAACCTCCAAGACGGCCCCAGACGGCCCAAGAGGTGCCCAAGAGGCCTCCAAGACGGCCCAAGAGGCCTCCGAGAGGTCCTCCAGGAGGGCCCGAAGAGGCTAAAATCATTGATTTTCTTTTGGGCTTTAAAGTTTTTCGCATTTGCTCCTCGTCGGCTTGCCGACGACCCAAGACAGCCCAAGAGGCCCTCAAGATCGCCCCCACAGCGCCCAAGAGGAGTCCAAGATGGCCTCAGGACTGCCCAAGAGGCCCCCACGACGGCCCCAAGAGGGCCAAAGACGACCCGAGAGGCTTCCAACACGCCCAAGATGCCCTTTACGACTGCTGTGGAACACCCCAAGAGGGCCCCATGTCGGCCCAGAGAGGCCCCCAAAACGGCTTCTGGCTGCGTCAGACGAGCCAGGAGCCCACCAAGATGGCCGAAGTAGGTTTGAAGCTGGCCCAAGACGGCCCAAGAGGCCTCCAAGAGGGCCTCCAGGAAGGCCAGGAAAGGCCAAAAACACTAACTTAGGTTTTTGTCTGTTTGCACCCTCCTCATTTTAGCATCAGCGAATATGTCTCGTGAAACACGGCACGGCATCGTTCAACACAGGGAGGCGAGAGCCTATACAGATGGCCGAGTCGTGGCAAAACCCCTGCAGGCTTCCGCCCCTTGGCGGATGAAAGAAATCTGAGCTCTGCGACTGTAGAAATACTCATGGCGGAGGGCAGGCCACGGGTGCACTTGAGCGGAGACGGAGGGACACTGACAATCACGCGCAAGCACTCCTATGCCTGTTTGCACCCTCCTCATTTTAGCATCAGCGAATATGTCTCGTGAAACACGGCACGGCATCGTTCAACACAGGGAGGCGAGAGCCTATACAGATGGCCGAGTCGTGGCAAAACCCCTGTAGGGTTCCGCCCCTTGGCGGATGAAAGAAATCTGAGCTCTGCGACTGTAGAAATACTCATGGCGGAGGGCAGGCCACGGGTGCACTTGAGCGGAGACGGAGGGACACTGACAATCACGCGCAAGCACTCCTATGCCTGTTTGCACCCTCCTGATTGTAGCATCAGCGAAAATGTCTCGTGAAACCTTGCACGGCATCGTTCAACACAGGGAGGCGAGAGCCTATACAGATGGCCGAGTCGTGGCAAAACCCCTGCAGGCTTCCGCCCCTTGGCGGATGAAAGAAATCTGCGCTCCCATATCACTCACAAATCAAGGATTGTGTTTTCTTGCGAGGTGAGCGGAGATAAGGGCAGTGGCAAGGTGGCGGCAGAGGCCCGAAGGATACGGCTCCGCCACCTTTGTCCACGGCACCCAGCGAGTCGGGTGCGGGCCTGACAGCTCGATATGACGCTTGGCAGTGTATGAACACTTTCCTCGGCCTTGACAGAGGTGGTGCTGCAAATGGCGACCACAATACGCTAACGCGCTGAAGTAATGCCGAAAAGCAGGTGCGTCCGTTTGCGCCACCGAGTGCCGTAGCTGCAAGAGTCAACTGTCACTTCTTTGCAGTGCGGCGCGGTAGCCAACTTGCGTAAAGCTGGGATCTTCCACATTATACTACTGTAGGGGTTCTCCAGGAACCACGGGATATGAGATCTGTTGAAAACTCGGATCAATCTGAGAGTTGCCCTCATTAGCCGGTTGCCTCTTCTCAAAGCAACATTATCCTTATCACTGAACTGGCTGCGGTCTGCGACGCCCCGCGGCATCGCAGAAGTTCGGATGAATCTAGTCCGCATGCGGGCGATGGAAAAGCTAGTGCACTCTGTCGCCAGCGCAGCTCCAAGGATGAGCCCCGCAGAGGCGTCTTTTTCTCAATCACACGAAGTTCTCGGTAGTCTGCAAGGTCGAGATGGTCGCCATACTTGAGGTCCCACAGCCTGGCTGCATAGCCTCGCCTGCTGATGGCGCGCCCGACGCCGCCGACACCACAGAACAGGTCGGCGAAATAGGGTCGGGCGCTCACAGAGGCACGAAGGGCTGGGCGGCCACGCGGCCGAAGAAGAGCGCCTCGAGCTGGTCGTCGGCCTTCTTGAACTGGGCCGCTTGGGTAGGCGTCAGCTGCGAGGCGGACGGGTTCAACCTGGCTGCGTTCTCGTACCGTTTCAGGGACGACTCGCACTGCCACCCTCCTCGCTTCTTGAGCTCGAGGTGGTCGCGGTGACGTCCCTGCAGGTCCAGCGACGCCCCCGAGTGGCGCCCCTGGTAGAGTACCAGCGAGCCTCGCTCGTGCGCGGTTGAACTCGGCCACCAGCTCTGGATAGCTGCGCGGGAACAGCCTGGACTCTGGGGCACCTGGCGCAAGCGCCGAGACCACTCGCGGCAGCCATGGGTAAAGCTTGTTGGCCAGGCTGATGCCCTCGCCCTGCATCTGGTTCTCGCGGGTGGCGGCGCGGCTGCCCGGGAACGGGATCACCGACCACTCGTCCGCGCCGCCCTTCACTGGCTTGACCAGGTCGCGGCGCTGGATGGCCAGGGGCTCGCTGGGCCTGCGGCGCGTCACGATGATCCAGGCCACGTGGAGCCCCATCAGCCAGAGTCCCCTGCAGCACAGGCCCCAGATCGCTGCCGACCAAATCATCCTCCCGACAGGGTTGCGCGAGCGCCTCCCGCAGCGGCGTCGCCACCCCTTCAGGGCGCGCCAGGCCCAGGGATGCGAGCGGCCAAGCTTGCCATACTGCGGCCGGAAGTGCAGGAGAGCAGACAGCAGGGCATCGCCACGGTTCGCCCCGTGCCCCTCCTCGA